GAAAACAAAAAGATGACTCTTTCAGAAGATCCAAAATATTAATAAATTTCTGGCAAGAATGATCAAGAAAATAAAGAGAAAAGAGACAAATAACCAGTATTCAGAATAAGGGAAATGAAATTACAACAGATTCTATAAATGTTTAAGTGATAGCAAAAGTATTATGAGCACCTTAGATGATATGTACAGATTCCTTGAAATATATTAATAGAAACTATCAAACCTCACTCAAGAAGAAACAGATAATCTGCACAGTCCTCTATTACTAAGTCAATTGCTCATCAATTATACCAAACATCTGAGAAAGAAACAATGTCAATTCTACATGAACCCTTACAGAAAACTGAAGAGAAAGAAATATTTCCCTACTCATTCTATGAGGCCACAATTATCTTGATAACAAAACTTTAAAAACAATGTAAGGAAAGAAAATTATAACATTACCAAATATTAACACAGATGCAAATATTCTTAAAATTTTAGCAAATAGAATCCAACAAAATATAAAAAGTATAATAGGTCCTGGCCAAGTGGGATCTACCTCAGTAATACAAAGTTAATTTAACATTCAAAAAAAATCAATGAATGTAACTGACCATATTAACAGTCTTTGAAAAAATTATGATCTCAATAGTTACAGAAAAAAGCAACTGACAAAACATTACACCCTTTCTTCACTTAAAAAAATTAAAGAAACCTCTCAGCACAGGAGATTCTAGCCAGTGTACTATGGCAAGAAAAGTTAAGACATTCTCATTGAAAGGAAGAAGTAAAATTGTCTTTTTTCACAGATAATATGATCAGATAGACAATCTATCTGCAAAAATTTATTAGAACTAAATAAGTGATTTAGCAAGATGGCAAGATACATGGTCAACATACAAGTAGCAACAAACAATTGATAGCTGAAACCTAAAAGGACAACATTATTTTCAACAGCATCAAAAAATGTGAACTACCTACAGATAATCTGACAAAGATCCATCTACTGAAAGCTAAAAAACATTGTTGAGAGAAATTAAGGAAAACCTAAATAAATGAACAGATATACTCTGTCCAAGGGTAGAAAACAGAATTTAAGATGTCAATTCCCTCCCCAAATTAATGTATAAACTAAATTGCAATTAAAATCTAAGCAGGGCTTTATTTTGAAATGATTGTAAAATTAACATGGAAATGTAACAGATGTAGAATAACCAAAACAACTTTAAAAACAAAAAAAGTTGAAGGATATTCTACCTGACTTTAATATCTATTACAAAGCTATAGTCATCAAAACTAAGTGGTAACAACATTAAAATAGACAAAGAAATGAATGTAATGAAATAAAACAGCCAGAATGGGTCCACATATACACATGGTAGACTGATTCTGTTCAAAGGTACAAAGACACTTCATGAGAGACAGGATAGGCTTTTTATCAAATGGTACTGGAACAGCTGATACCATATGCAAAAAATAAAGCTTGTCCATATCTTGTTCTACAGGTTAACATAAAACAGATCCTGGCTGTAATATAAAATAATAAATAAAGTTTCTTAAAAAAAATTATGACAAACTTTCTGAGATCTCAGACTAGGCTCAACTTCTTAAGATACCAAAACCACGATCCATAAAAGAATAAACTGACAAAACAGACGTCATTAAAATTACAAATTGATACATTAAACTTAACCAAAATTAAGAACTCTGCTTTTCAAGATACTGTTAAGAAAATGAAAATGTAAGCCACAAAATGGGAGAGAATTTTTCCAAATCACAACTATGATTTAAAAAAAAAAAAAAAAACTTGTAATGAGAATATACATAAAAACCTCTCAAAAATCAATAAATAAATAGGTCTTTTTTTTAAATGGACAAAAAGTTTAATAAACACTTCAACTGAGAAGATGTATAAAATATATATGGGGAAATAAGCACATGATAAGAAGCTTGAGATTATTAGTCATTAGGGAAGTACACATTAAAACCCCAGGAGAGAATTCCACATTAATAGAATAACTAAAATTTAAAAGTGACCATAGCAGTTGGAGCAAACTAGAATCACTCTGAAATACAGATTGAATGCATCTTAAAAAGTTAAATACACACCTACCATGTAAACTAGCCATTCCACTTCTAAGTATTTAACCAAGAGAAACAAAGGCTGCACAAAGATATTTATACAAGTAATCATATCAGCTTTATGTGTAGTGGCCAAGAAGCAGTAAATAATTCAAATGTAATTCAAATGTCCATGAACAGGTTAATGGATAAACTAAATATGGCATAGTTGTACAATGGAATACCACTCAGTAAAACAAAACAAAAACTATGTATGCATGCACATACCACCTGGACAAATCTCAAGAGGATCATGCTAAAGAAAAGTCACCATACATAAAAGATACATATTGTATGACCCTACAGATAAAATTTCTAAAAAAGTTTAAATAATCTATCCTGACAGAAAGCAGCTCACTGGTTCTTGGAAGGAATTAGAAAAGGGCACAAGAAATCAACGGAGGTATAAGAAATGCTCTTTATCTTGATTGTGATGACAGTGTCATGGGTAATATTAAAACTTCTCAAATTAGACACTTTATATATGTACAGTTTACCGTATGCCAGGTATACCTCAATAAAGCTACTGAAAAATATCCCAGTGGTGAATGCCTTTTCTTTTCCAGGGTACCCTGACTGCTATATTCTTTCCTCATCTCCTACATTCAATCAGTAATTAATTCTTAATCATTCTATTCTAATCCCTCTCTTCTAGTCCCATAACTATGCTAACCCATCTCTCACCTTCATTAAAATAGTCTCTTCAGTCCTCACCACTTCATTTCATTTGCCACCTTGCAGCCAGAATTAACTTTCTAAAACACATCCCTGAGTGTCAGTCACTTCAACAGCTGCTGCTTGCTCTAGAGATACATTTCAACCTCCTTAACCTCATTCACCTGACCCTCCCTGAGCTGGCCTTTGCACTCTCTCCATCCTCCTTTTTGGTGATTTCCCACTTCACCCTCTCCTGTCTGCCCATAATCAGCAGTGTACCAGCCTTGTATAGCTTTGCCCATGCTGTCCCAAGTCAGATAATCCACTTTCCTTTGTCTTTCTCCAGCCCAGTCATACTGAAGCTTTGCAACTCTCCAATTGGGTATTATCTCCTCTGAGCCTATGGTGAGCCATTTGGACTTCTCTCAACTCCTGAGAATCTTTTAAAATTGATTTTTATTGGAGTGTAGTTGATTAACAACGTTGTGTTAATTTCAGGTCTACAGCAAAGTGAATCAGGAATATCCACTCTTCTTTTTAGATTTTTTTTCCCATACAGGCCATTAGAGGAGAATCTTCTTATATCTTGCTACAGCACCAACCTCACTATCATATAATCTCCTTGGCCAGACTAGACAGAAGCAGAATGTATGAAAGCTTGAAAGGAAAGACCAATTCTTGCTTTCCCAGAACCTACCACAGTGCGCAGGCCCAGAGCACATTCCCAAATCAGTGAACAAACAAATGAACGCAAGAGCTGGTTTGGGTGACCTCCTCTAACATAATCTGAGTAGACTCTAAATTCCACCTTATAAAAATAGGGGCAGGTAAGAGGCTGAATACTCTCTGTAGTACATTCTGGTAAAATAATTATTTCAAATATTTTGGGGTGGGGGTGGGGAAGATTCACTACCTGAAAGTGTTTTCAGAATCAGCTGATAACAGATGGTGGTTTGAACTAAGTGAAGTAGGTTAGTGAAAGGGAACCAGATTCCAGGAAAAGACAAGGTCCACAGTAACAACACAGCCTGGAAGAAGGTCCAGTCTCCGCCCAGTAAACTTAACTTCACTCAGAAAGACAAAGATTTCCACCCTCTGGGTTAGTTCCTTCTCCCAATACACATGTTTTGACTTCCAAATCCAGCAGAGACACTCCCTTCTCCTCAAAATCAATCTCAGGCCTTTTTACCCTCTGGGTTCCTTCAATCATCCTTAATAAAGAGTTTTTTGAGCCTGCCACCAGGAAGTCCTCCTTAGCTGATACCTCCAAGAGTCAGGCCAGTGGCCACCAGGTCAAAAACCAAAGACAGGACCTCATTGACAGGAGACTCCCAGAAGACCAGGAGGCAGCCAGAAGGCTGGAAGACCCAGCTAGCAACTTAAGAAGTACAACTTCAGGATGCACATTTGGTGGATTATAGGGAAGAGGGGAAAAGCAAGCAAAATAAAACAGAACTCTACCCTCTATACACCAGCCACAAAATAAAAGGCAGCTTGCCTTCTATCTCACTGCTCTGCGATTCAAAAGCATCATCACTTCCTCCCCCTAATACCATATTTTTAAAATTAATCTAATGATGACTGCTTTTCAGTATTTTGGAAATGACTCTTTAGAGACGATATCAGAGACTCTAGAGACAAATGTTAAGACATGAAAAGTGCTTTAGTGGAACATAGTCAAGGATTAGGGAAATTCACCATTTTGCATCTTGTTCTTAAAAAGAAAGGTCATTAATAAAAATGGAAAGATACTCCTAGGCCGTTTCTACCCAGGATAACTGTAGCCAAAGAGCATTATACCATCTAATCTAAACTGCGCCTCAAATATTATCATAGTTGCTGAAAGCATTGAAAGCTACAAGCAACACAGGTCTTAAAATGCCTTACAGTAGCCAGATTGAAATTAAAAGGCTCAAAAATGCCTAGATGAAAGTCGCTCAGTCGTGTCCGACTCTTTGCGACCCCATGCACTATACAGTCCATGGAATTCTCCAGGCCAGAATACTGGAGTGGGTAGCCTTTCCCTTCTCCAGGGGATCTTTCCAACCCAGGGATCAAACCTCGGTCTCCCGCATTGCAGGCGGACTCTTTACCAGGAAAGATCCTGAAATAAGGTGGTAGAGGGCCCTGGGTGGATGGGGGGGAGAGAACAAATTAACATAATTAACTGGATAGGCACTGCAGAGGACCCAGAGTTCCAGACATCTCAGGCAGCATGGGGGAATACAGTAAAGGCCCACCCGTCTCTGGAGTGGCCGGACGCCTCACCCAGGAGTGAACACAAGGGACTCAACAAGATCTCGGAGGCCAAGGGCCCGGCTGGCGCTGGCTTTAAGGCTCAGGCGGTCAGAGGAGGAAGTGGAAGCGGCGACTGCGGGAAAGGGGAGGGAGGCTTGGGCCAGATACGCTCTCAGGTTGGAGAACGTTCGCGCTGCGAGCCTGCGCTTCTGTTAAAGCCCCTGGTACACACGTGGGACTGAGAGGAGGGTCACTTACTTGTCCAATCTGAAATTACATTTTAGCTATCAGGGCTCTGCAGGTTGCCAAGCGGAGCCCCACCGAGCCCCACCGAGCCTGGACTGGGCGGTCCACCGCAGCAGCTGAGGCCCCGCCCCGCCCCGCGCGCGGCCCCGCCCCCTCGGGCCCTTGTAAAGCCTGCCGCGATTGGCCCTTTGAACCGGGCCGGGGATTGGCCCCCGCCTGCTCCTGCGGTCAAGCGGCCCGGGCGAGTGGTGTGAACCTCGGTCTCTAACAGGTTCTTCCGCCCTCTCAGGGACTATTAAGGACTGAAGTGGGCGGTGTCCTCTCAGGCCACGAGTTTTCTGCTCTGCAGGCTGTTCTAGCAGAATTTTTCCACGCAAACTCTCCGTAGCCGCTGGTGGGTATGTGTGTCCAGCGTGTATCCTGTAACTTTGCGTTTCAACAATGCACCAGGACTCATGCAGAACAGTTGCTAAAATACAGTGGTGGTGGTTTAGTCGCTAAGTCGTGTTCGACTCTTGCGACCCCATGGACTGTGGCCTGCCAGGCTCCTCTGTCCATGGGATTCTCCAAGGCAAGAATACTGGAGTGGGTTGCCATTTCCTTCTCCAGGGCATCTTCCTGACCCAGGAATCGAACCTGGGTCTCCTGCATTACAGGCAGATTCTTTACCGACTGACCTAAGAGGGAAGCCCTTCAATTAGTATTTATCAAATGTTTTTAGTTTGTGCCAGATCCTATTCCTGATACTTTATTTAAATTTACTCATCTAATTTTGTGAGCAACCATCAGAAGAAGTGTCACAGTTTGTAAATGTACAAATGGGTCCCAGCCTCTAAGGAAATTACAGTCTGGTGGGTCCTGGATACACATATCTCATTTAATCTTCACTATCCTTACATTTCCAGTTAACTAGGTCCTATTTGTCCCTAGTTTACAGATGCAGGTAATATGAAACGTTTTTCAGCTTGTTTTGAAACACCCAGTAAGTAACAGGAGGGAAGATTCCACAAACTTAGCTTAAACCTGAGCCACGTACTTTGAAAAGTCAGGCTCCCAGGCTGATGGGACTGGCATTTGGAAGGAAATTTATCAAGCCTAAATTCTTTATTTTCCTAGAAAAGGAGACTGAGGCACAGTAAAAGGAAGTGCTTGTCCAAGGACACGCCGGCTCTGAGAGGTAAGCCTAGGCAATCACTGTGCTTTCACTGAACTGGAGTGTATGCCAAGTGTGTGACGGTCACTCTGCTCTCCTCATAACTACCCCAAATACATGTTCTTCTCTTGACCTTACAGGTGAGGATACTGGCTCAGTGAGGCTGAGGCCGCGTGATTAGTTCCTAGGCCTCCTGGGTTGGAGTTGTCAGGGGGAAGTTGTTTTCTACCCTCCTTGGTTCTTCTGGCCAGTCTAAGAATTGAATTTACAGATCAATGGGAGAAAACCAGATGAAAGTTTAATCACATGTGTACATGGGAAAGACCCAGTAAAACTGAGTAACTGAAAAACCATCCTCAATTAAGGATTAAAAAAAAAAAGACAAAGATGTTGGGGGTAGTGGTTTGAGTTTTCAGAAGGGAGGAAGGCATGAAGATGGAAAAGAAAATGTTTGGTAAACACATGTTTTCAGGATGCGCAGAGACAGTAGGACACAGAACAGAATTAGAAAAAAAAAATCTTCCCAGGTTTCTCCCAGTCTACCATACCTAGTTCATACTGTAGTTATCTATGATAGCTTCTTGGAAGAGGTTCCCTATCTACATTCTTTAGGCAGCTAAGGGGGGACATCAGAGTTTTTTCCTGAGTCTTCTTGGGCTTTGAATTTTTTCAGCTCTAAATAATTTGCATGCCAAAGAGACATTTTGGGGTTGCAACTCTAGCCCCCATTTACAGGGTCATTTTCTTTTTTCTACACCATGACTATTCACCTTCATTTCCAACAAATAGCCAAAGCTTAACCATGTAGTCTTTGGCAATGTGGGAAGTACTAGGATCTGGTTCTCAGCACCTGTGTGAATCATAATGTATCAATACAATAGGAATAATAATATAAGACCTTTTCATCTTACCTTTCCAGAGTATTGTGATGAGTAAATAAGGTAATAAATATAGAAATACTTGGTGAAGTGTTAGAAGTTGAACACATGTAAGATGGCTTCTGAACCTTCCTCAGTTTTACCTCAGGAATAGAATAAATGAATATACTGATTGCCTTAGGAACTATGGCAGGAGATCTCATCTTGGTGTGTGACCCAGTGTGCCTTAGCTTGCCAATCCCTGATTTATTACATTCCGATGTCCCATCACAAAAGTGCATCAGAATAAAAATATACTACAGGGTGTAGGGGGACTGTGACATTACAGGCACCTGTACGCTGTTGACTAGTATAAAGCTAGTGAGTGACAATGAGATCCAAAAGAAAGAAAGATGCCTAAATCAATAATCATGAGATCTGGACACTCAGTTCAAATCTGCCCTGAAACCAGACTTATATCCTGAACCAACCCCAGTTGTGTAAGTTTCTTATATATTGGGACCAAATAATGGCAAATATTATCTGTACTTTCCCATTTTATGGTTATATACATAACCATAACATGAAAGCTGTGAGTGTTATCCAGCTATGTGTACACTGCTTCACTTTAGGCGGGGTTATAGCCTCCTTCAGCTCCCTATCCTTACCTCTATCATGGAACTAAAATGTATCAAATGCTTAGTAGTTATTAGTGCACCTGTTTATTTCTACTCAGCATAAAGGATTATCGTGTCACATTGGATTAAAAGACTCAATTATTGGAAAGTCTTGACGTCCACTCTAGATTATTGGCAGGCAATGTGGGGATCATGCAGAGTCATTGTCCAGTAGACAGGTCACAAGTCACATCAGTGACGCAGCACATCAGATTTAAGTGAGACAGAAAGAGCTGGGTTGTGAAACTGGAACCAGCTGAACTGGAAGTTTGTGTAATTTCCTTCCTGTTCAGAGACTATTATGTGCAACATCAGGAGGCAGACAGGAGACCTGGTGCTCTCCCTGGTGATCCTTGGTGACCTTCTGATGCTCCAACTGCACTCTCTGAAAGCTTTTTCTAATTAACCACCCCCTCCCCACTACGGAGAAGACATGTTTTCCCTGAGATTCTTAGAGTCATGGCACAGAAATAGGTATGGTTATTCATTTACTCATTAATTCAGACATTTATGTATTCACACATCTAACAGAGATTGAGAGACTTTTTTTTTCACTTATATATTTATTTTAATTGGAGGATAGTTACTTTACAATATTGTCATGGTATTTGCCATACATCAGTATGAATCAGCCACAGGCATACATGTGTCCCCTCTGTCTTGAACCTCCCTTCTGCCTCATTCCCTATCCCATCCTTCCAAGTTGTCAGAGTACCAGCTTTGGGTGCCCTTCATCATACATCAAACTCCCACTGGTCATCTGTTTTACATATGCTAATGTATATGTTTCAATGCTATTCTCTCAAATCATCCCACCCTCTCCCTCTCCCATTGAGTCTAAAAGTCTGTTCTTTATGGAGATGGTGTTGAAAAGAACAGATATTGTCCATGTCATCATGGAACTGACAGTCACGAAACAGACATTCAACATATAAGCTTACAGATACATATATACATACATATATATATATAACTGCAACTGAATCCATGTAGATGGATCCAGTTGCAGGTAGGACAGGATGTGGGATACTATGACAGAGGGAATGTGATTTCAGTTGAAGTCTGAAATTGGTGATTCTGAGGAGCCTGGTGCATTACATACACTGAAGACCTAAGGGTCTTCAATAACCTTCTAAAGTGGCTACTATCACAACCACTGACCTCTAGGGAAACTGAGGCTTAAGGGGAGATTATCTGATTGGCCTCAGGTTGCACTGTTAGTGAGTTTGGAGCAGGCGGTGCTCTCTCCACTGCTCTGCACTGCACAGCACAAACCCAGAGGTTGCATTTTTCCAGCTTCCACCTTTGCACACACTATGCCCTTCCACCTGGAAAGCCTGCCCCTCCATCCTTCTCTTGTTGGATTCATAATCTGCCTTCAGCATCTAACTGAGGACCTGCTTCCTCAGCAGAGCTGCTCGGCAGGCCTCAACACATCGCTTGTTTTCTAAGCTTCTGCAACAGTCATCATATATTACTCATGTGGCCCTGGCCCTGAGACTCCTGATAAAGTTCTTTCTCCTTACTCGCCTGCTCTGGTGCCCTTGTTAACAGTCCTGTGAGCAGCACAAGGTCATCAAAGCAGACAGACCTGGGTTCTTCTCTCAGTCCTACTTGTTTGTTGAATGACTTGGAGAAGATTGCTTAACCTCTCTGTAGTTTCTTTGGAGAACAGTAATTTATTTCTTGAGATAGATCTTAAAACACGTATCCCAGTGCTGAATGGATAGTACTTGGTCCTTGCTTCATAGTCTTATGTGCTGTGCTGTGCTTAGTCGCTCAGTTGTGTCTGACTCTTTATGACCCCATGGACAGTAGCCCACCAGGCTCCTCTGTCCATGGGGATTCTCCAGGCAAGAATATGGAGTGGGTTGCCATGCCCTCCTCCAGGGGATCTTTCAAACCCAGGTCTCCTGCACTGCAGGCAGATTCTTTACTATCTGAGCCTCCAGAGAAAGCCCCAGGTGATTACCTAGATCAGAAGCCTATAGAGGGCAAGACCTACGCCTTCTACTTTACAGTCTCAGCAACTCTCACAGTGCTCTGTGATAGCAGGTATCATGCTTGTGCTGTCACTCAGCTGTGTCCGACTTTGTGATCCCTGTGGACTGTAGCCTGCCAGGCTCCTCTGTCCATGGAATTTCCCAGGCAACATTACTGAAGTGGGTTTTCATATCCTTCTCTAGGGGATCTTCCTGACCCAGGGATCGAACCCATATCTCCTACATT